GAACGTTCACATCTCGCGCCGTTTGTCCACGAAACAGCGGGCCATTTGCACGGAGACTGGTGTTGAAATCATGCGCGCGACACCCGTCTTTCTTCGCATCGACACGGACCAAGAGCGCGCGTCGCACCTTCTCTATGAGATTCCAATAGCTACAACAGACTTAGGGTCCCTCTGTGTTATCATCGAAGGTATTCAACGAGTTTTCTTTAGTGTTCAGAGATCGGGGACGACTTTACCTTCACAGTTCTTAAGACTTGAAGCGTTTGGGATTACTGAAACGGAGAAAGGTGTAACTATTTGCCTCATCACTCCGCGAGCTACTGTTCTGAATAATTATATCTCGGGGGGCTCTGTAGGCATCGACGAAATCATGTTCTTCTCGAACGACATAGGTCGCATAGTCTCCGGGATCAGTTCACTTGGGATGACTGGTGTTGTTCTCTATGAGGATTTATATGTGCGCAAAGACCCGTCGTCGCACGTCCCAACGCTTTGTGTGTCTCCTGTAGTATTCATCTTACCCCTCCTCTTACAACAAATGGCATTGACTGGGACACAGTCGATAGCGCCAGAGGTCTATAATGGTATTGCAGATAGTCGAATACTCAGTTGGAGCATTGGAGTCGTGATGTATCGAATCATTAAAGGCAACTTGCCATATAAGAAGTACATTGGGTGGCAAGCGGTCGATGTCTCTGACATCCCAAATGATTTAGTTCGCGACGCTGTCGGTCGCTTACTTGAGATCTCCGACAGAAGAGTGTTTCCTGAGAATATCAATGAAGTTGAGCTGTTTAGAATATCCAACGGGTGGAAGATGTTCCGGAGTGGGGATGTCCGCAGATACGTCAAAAGTATTGAAATCTCACAGTCAAAAGAGAAAGAGCAGATCTATGGAGGACAAAATGCGGAAGGGTTGAATGTAGTTATTTGGGAAGCTAAAAGCACTGAGTTGATTAATATAGTCAAAGAAGCGCGAGTTCTTCGACTTTGTGAGTCGATTCATATCTCCAATGTTATAGATGTGTGTGTCGACAACGATAAAGTCTATTTAGTGACTGAAGGAAGTAATTGTGGAACGTTAGAGAACTATGTTGAGTACCGTCGAAAGACTTCCGGACTCTCGAAAGACGAGATCGAGTACTTTAGTAGAGAGATCATTAAAGCAGTGAAATACTTGCGCTTTGAGAAAGGTGTTATTGTTCAGGACCTTCGGTTATCAGACTTCTTACTCACCGCTAACCCCGGAGGAATTCCTTTTGTTAAAATGGCACGGTGTCGATCATGCCGAAATGCAAGAGAATGTGAAGGACGTGAAAGAAGTGACTTAAAAGTCCTTGGAGAAGTCCTTCGCGAGATCACAGGAGAGAATAAGATGGAGATCACGAACAACGGCGGGATAGTCTTTGAAAACAAAGTCGTGGAAGGACTTCGTGAAGTCGTTCAACTCATCGCTATCAAAGAAGAAGTCGACTGGGACTATTTCTTGAAAGATCCGTTTGTGGGGGCACTCACTGCAGCACCCGATATATTACTCGGATGCGAAGAAAAGATCGATACATCGGGATGCCTTGGCTCACTTGGAATTGGAAACCAATGTGGACTTGGATGCACCAAAAACACTATCGACGTTGAGATGAAAAATGTTGTATTTAACGCACTTGGAAGAGCTATCTACTAAAGAAAAATAGTGTCATATTTTGCATGTCATGTGGAGTACTTTATTTATAGTTTCGTTATAGTTTAGTTACTGGTTATAATTATATGGTATAATTTTATAGTTTATTTAGTTTGTGAAATATTTATTTATTATTTTTTTTAATTTATTGTTTGTATACGAACAAATAATAAACTATAATTATACTATAATTTAAATAAGTAGAATTAAAGACTTTATTCTTTATTATAATATAACAAGTTAAATATGAAACTAGACAAATTAATTGGACAATTTATTTTCAAACTATAACATTACATTTATTATATTAATAATTTATTATAATTATAATAGAACAGTATGAACTGAACTTGATAACTAAAACCTCAAAATTTATATAAATAAATTTATAAAGAAATTTGAAAATAGAAATTAACCAAATTATAAAGAATGAAAGTTTTTAGTTAATTACGTGAGATCCCGAGTTCATGGCCCATCTCTTGAGGATAGTCTCTTCATTGAATTCAGTCTTTCCAACCGCTTCTAATTCACCATGGTGTGGTTTGAGAACATCAAGTGCTTGTTCTTTCAGTTCTCTAACTCTAACCTTTAACATACCTTTTGCTTTTGGTCCTTTCCAGTCGATGAAAATACCTCTGGCTTGGTCTGGAATACCTTCAAGAGTGCATCTCAATGAAATCAACGCGAAACAAGCTTGGTCGTCTTTTAATTCATCTCTTAAGGCATCAACACCATTGCCAGAGCATCTGAAGACTAATTGTTTGTTCTTGGCATCAAAGACAACCCACTCACCATTTGGGACGTCGATGCTCGCCATTTTTGCCATTGCCTCTTGTTCAGTTGCCATTGATCTCTCACTGTTCCTCTATCTTTTTATTTCAAAAAATACTCGACGACACGTGGGCACAGAAAAAAAATTGAAGCTTTTCCAGTTATTGATATTACACTTAAAGCATTTCAATGCCTCTGGTGCACTTTTTCTTATTTTTTACATATCATTGTGGTATATTGGAAAATAACCAATTTTTATAGTTTTGTAAATTAATAAATTTCTATGGTTTTTGGAATAAAAAAAACAATCTTTTTGGTCAGAAAAATACAAAAAAAGAAAGAAGTGAATATGGAATCACAAAAAAATAAATGAAATTAAATATATAGCTTATTATGTTATTCTATAATAGTACTATAGTTTTTTTGAGAACAATGATAGTTGTGTAAGTAGAGGCATTTCTTATTGGTTGGTTCATTCGAGTTACTAGATTACTATTGTAAGATATAGTTATTTAATAATTAAAAACAAGTCTGTAAAATGTTTTTTTTTGGCGATCAATTTTTTGGAGTTTTGAAGAGTTCTTTTGAGATGAAAAAAACAATAAGTGAAAAAAAATAAATTAAAAAAAAACTATTTCGGGAAGTCTATTTTTTTAGATCCATTTTTTATTTTTTAATGAAATGGTTATTTTGTATAGTCATTTTAACAAAAATAGATTAAAATTACAAGTTCGACAAAAAAATAAAATGTGTATTTGATGGATGTTGGAAACTCATAAAATCTAATTTGAGGATTTTTACAGAATTTAATATTGGTATTATTTATTAATAATATAATTCATTATAACGCTTAAAATAACGCCCTTATTTTAGTTTTGGCCTGTTTTTACAGGGATATCAATCCAATTTTTGATTATTTTCCTTTTTTGGCTTGTGTAATTAAATGCACAAAATATAACTTTAAAAAACGGAAATATATTTAATAAACTCGATATTTCCCATTTTTAGACCACTTGAATTTTGTTCAATGTTATTTAAAGTGTTATTATTATTTTATTTTTGTAAATAATTGAACAAATATAAATATACTACTAATTTGTATTAATTTTTTTTATTAAATAATATGGTCATTTTTTGTTTATGATAAATTATGTTTGTACCAAAAAAATAATTTATTTTTTTTAAAACCCTTTTTATCTTTAAATATTTGGATTATTAAAAGCAGAAGATAAAATAAAATGCTATTTTTGTTTATTTCTTAAATTTACAAATTATGGTTTAAATTTGATCACTTTTTCGATTTTATTTTCTTATTTCTCGCAAAAAGTTAGACTAATAATACCTCGACGTTCTGTATTGTTAGGAATAGAATTCTCCCAAAGAACATTTTAAAATCAAATGCGTTACGTTAGTTTAACTGTTCAAAATGTCCAAATGTGTCATTTTGAAATCATGTTGATTTATTATCGTTTTTTTGTTGAATAATTATCATTTGGTGTACCATTCACAACTTTGTTTAAATAATCAATGAAACAAAAAATATTGCATTTTAAAAAAATTTCTGTTTTCGATTAACATACCTTTTAAGATGATTGATTTTAATCGAATTATTTACTTTTCTGCAGATAAGTATTTTTTTCGAACTCCTCTGTGTTAATGAAACATCAAATTTTGAATAAATATTTGATCAAATCTACTATTCTTTATAAAGCAACTAAAAAGACCCAATCAACACTTTGCAACCAGTTGCTTATAACTCTTGCATAAAAATATTTTTACACAAAAACGTTGTTGATGAAAATATTATTTGACAATTTTGGATAAACAATTTTTTCTTTAACCCTTTCAGTTTAATACTTTTAATTCGAGATTATCAATCTAATAATCAAAGCATTAAAAAACCAATGAAATAAAATCCACACAATTGAACTTGTGTTACTAAAGGACGGCATCTTGAACAACACATCATCAATTTTGTTATGGCGTATATAGTTGGTCCACCCAATTTTCAAATAGTCTTGTGTCATTTTTTTGAGAATGACACAATTTGTCTTTAATCAAAAGACATTCAAAATAAATAAAATAATAAAAATAAAAAAGTTTTTAATGGAGATGTCGAGCTTGTGGTTGAAACAATATATAGACTTAAATTTTCACTATCATTTTATGTCTAAATATATAATTAGTTTAGAATCACCATCCATTTCTGGTTCCATATCAATAGTTTCATCAACTGTTTAACCACTACAATTATTGATGTTTAGACCAACATCTACAAAATAGTCCGTTATCCATTTATCCCAACCAGTTGCATCACTTTTATAATTAGAAAGAACAAATTAAAATCTTTCTTTTTGAGGAATTCATAACTTCTTTTAATTTCACAAATAACGAATGGTGTTGTTCAGTCCACTTCTTTGTAGAATTTACCATTAAATAATGTTCCAAATAATTTGTTTTGATACTTGTTCATTACCCAAATCATTCAACTTCGAATATTCAAGAAAGTTTGTAATGAAATTAAACCATTATAATTCTTCTCTGTTTTTTGTTGGATTGTTTCTTTTGTAAATAAACTGGTTTTCAAAAGTCTGTACTGGGGTGTCCCATTTTTTGCATTTATTTTGT